ACCGGACTATGCTCCAAGTCTGCTGCACAGGCCCTGCACTTCCAAGTAAGCCTCAGAGCTGCTGACCCAGAAAGTGGGTACTAATCCTCGCACAACTGAGAACACAGCTCCCACAAGACATATCCTAGGGAGTGCTGTTTCTGACACTGGCCCTCTCATACCCACTCCCAGCTCCAGGGCAGGGAGAGACAAGCTCTGGCCTAAGCAACTCAGGCAGATGTCCATCAGCTGAGGATTGAAAAGAAGAGCTCCCTCCCTTTCTAAAGTATGGAGGCCCTGAGGAAACAAAAGTCAGGGAAATGGAGGAGTAAGCCCTACCTTTTTCCTAGCCAGGTTTGAGGCCTGGGAATCTCAGGCTCAATTACTACAAAACCCCAATGTTTATGCATCAGCTACTGCCAGGCCTGGTGGCTGAATGACAGCACCTCCAACTCCATTCCACCCCTCCCACGGAGGGAGGTAACAACTGGAGGTTTGTTTTGGTGGCCAGGGCTAGACTTGCCAGCCTGGACACAGCCTCTCTGAACCCATAGTCCATCCAGGAGCCTTGCTGGTCTCTGTCATCCTGGGGACTGAGTGGCTTTGTCACCTCTAGAAGTGAGGTGAGGGAAGGAGGGAGGCTGCAGGCCCCAAGCCAACGACACACACTTTCTCCTTTGTTCCAGGCCTCCCCAGCTCGCCAGTCTAGGAAGGAGGGGAAGGAGATGCCTGTATCCTTAGTGCTGGGGCCCTGACACCCTGTGACCAGGAGCACTGGGCACAGCTGAGCTCCCTAAAGTCACAAGCTGATTATGGGGGATTTGGGGCTGACCCAGCTCTGAGGCAAGTAGGGTCGAATCCCTGAATGGCTCAGCACTGGACAAGGATCATCTCAGGACTGTTTACATTGTGGGTATAGCCAAAATAGCCACGCAAAAAAAAAACAAAAACAAAAACAAAAACCCACCCAAAGATCTTTCCAACTGAAAATAGCCACCATTTTGGTTCAAGACACAAAGCCAGACTCACCACAGCCCCAGCCACCAGTGGAACCTTCATTTTACAGAGAAAACCAAGGTACTTCTCCAAGGTCATAACTTCATTTTGTTTCCATTCACAGAAGGGTTTTAGATGTTAAATCATATCTAATCCAACTGTTAAAAAGAATCCTACTGCACAATTTCTGTTCATGTGGGGTGGATGGAGAATGGCATTGAACATAGAGGTGTGAAAAAAAAAGAACCTTTTTAAAAACTTCAGAGGCCAGAGGTGCTGGTACTCCCAGCATTCAGGTGGCTAAGCCAGGAGCATTTCCTCAAGTTTGAGGCTAGACCGGGCAGAGTTCAAGGCTAGGTTGAACTATAGGGGGACCCTGTCTCAAAAGAAACAACCAACCATCAAACAAAAAACCACAGCAACAACAAGATGTCTTTCTATAGGCTACCTCAACTCTTCTGTGAGAGCCTATCTTAGATAATTCTTCTCTTCTCTGGCCTCTGATTCCTCACCTGTCAATTGGAGGGCTAACCTATGGGCTGGAAGGTCTTCTGTTCTGACTTTCCTCGGTCCTCCAATATCTTCCTGATAAAGCTGGCAGCATGTATTGGGGCAGAAGGCCTATGTGTGGCTTTTGGTTTTTCATTGGACCTGTGACTTATTTCTTGCTCATAGAGCAGGTGTGAAGACTGCAAAAGAAAAGGTTCATGCGAGTTCCTTTCAAATTATCCCAAAGCTGACCCAAATCCAGGCAGATGGATGGGAACAAAGAAATCTAAGGCAAGGCAGAACTAACTTACCAGCTGACCTCAGGCTATTGACCTGGCACTCTAACCATGTGCCATCTCAGCAAATTGGCCTCCTCTAAGCCCTTAATGGGAGGAAGTGACCAGTGGAAACCTCAGTGAAATCAGTGTAATCTAAGTAATACTATTAAGCCAGATATCCTGACTCCCCCAAAGCTCACGCTGCCCAAATGTCACACCTCTAAAATACAGACCGAGGCCCTCATACAGCTGCTCCCTCAGGCCTAGGCAAGCACCATGCATAAAAGGAATCCAAGGAAATAAGGACTATTCATGAAGTTTCTAGGGGGGCAGATAGCCATGATTTTTCCTCTGAATTCTTACAAACATTCTAATGATAAAAAATGTTTTCATCTACAGATGAGGTAACAGTTAAACTGGGATTTGAAACCACATCTGTGGCACTTCAAGCAAATACCTATACACTGTACTGTTACAGGCTGAGAAGTCCTGTAGATTTCTGATGTCTACTTTGTCTCGAGAGCTTATTCCTGCCTGGAACCCAGCACAGATGGTGGATGAGACCCTGGCTGGCCAGGCAATTCTGATTCCACCTGTTCCCGCCGTACTTCCTAAGTTACGCTCATTACTTTGAGCCACAGAAAAGTATAGTGGAACACAGGGAAGTCAGCAGTCAATCCCCAGTTCCAAGAAAATAAAGAGGAACAGAGCAGAACCAAGACATCTGAGCTAGACACACCCAACGTATGATACACCTCTCTGGGTCTCAGTTTAACCTTTGAAACAATGTTGTGGCACTGACCAATTCAGAGGTTTCCAAAGGCAAGGCCTGTTTTCCAGAATGCATGCAAGATAATCATAGAGAATTTAGTAAAAAAATATTTAGTGTAAATGCTATCTTTGTCCTTGTCTTTTGAGATTTCCACGCATTTACTAATGTAACAGTACACTCACATGAATTTATCAATATGGATAAGCCACTGGGAAGGGAGATGCTTTAAAATGATTTTCTGATAACTGCACAGTTTGATTTGGAGAGCATTATGTGAAAAGCACCCACTGTCATAGCTGACCAGACTCCATACTTTGCCCTTCAAGACAAAACTATTCCTTCTAGCAAAAAATGCAGCGGAGGCAGAAGTTAAAACCCCTTCTCATTGACCTGGGTTTACATCTACTCAGTCACTTGGTAGCTGTGCAACTTTAGTAAAGTTACTTCTCTTCTACAAGCTCCCCCCAGATAAAAAAAAACCACAGCAGAGCTACGTGGTTAACAGTGAAAAGCATTTTCAAAAGCATCTCAGTAAACTCTTAAGTGGCTGTTTATTTTCTCCTCTACTCTGCTGTCTGCACTCAGAATATTTACTTATCTGTCCAATAAATACACCCAGGTCTGGCGTCATATGTTTTTTCCTTTGAGGAACTGTAAAGAGCTATCCCTATCTTGCATGTGAAGACACCATGGCCCAGATAAGTGGGTAGGGGTAGGGGGTGCTCTGGAAAAACAGCGAGTTCTTGGACTTCGGGGCCTCAGCCATTGTCATTAGCTAAAATCGTTTCTCTTGTATTTTGTTTAGCTTTCCCTGTCTCTGTGGTGCAGCCACAATGCCCTCAGACTCCATTCAAGCCTCAGAGCCAAGGCAGGGCAAAGCAAGTCCGGCTTGGACAGGTATGGGGAGGTCTGATCCCGCTGAGTACAGTTTTGACTGTTTCTCAGCTCGATCCCACCAACATCTCCACAGCCTAAGGAAGGGCATTTCGGGTTTGGTCGCGTGCCTTTGCGAATCAGGCTTAAAAGGTTACAGAGCAGGAGGAAATCACAAGTAGATAATGAGAAATGTTTTAAACTAGGCAAAGTAGCGCTCACTGGTAATCGCAGTGGAGATGGGAGGATCATCTCAGTTTGAGGCCAGTCTTGGGCTATACAGTAAATTCAAGTCCCGCCCGAACTAAACAGTGAAAGTTTGTCTCAAAAACTGAAAGAGCTGGGCATGGTGGCCCTCGCCTGTAACTCTAGCATTCTGTGCCTCAGGTGGGAGGGTTGCCACAAGTTCGAGGCCAACCTAGGCTAAATAATGAGTTCTGGGCCAGCCTGCAGGGTTAGTGAGACCCCGTCTCAAAAAAAGATTTTTTTTTTTTTAAAGAAAAATGTGATCTTCCGGGGATTTAGTTCAGCGGCACAAGCGGCTGTCTGGCAGGTGCGCGGTCGCGGTCGCAAGTTCGATCCTCGGTAACAAAAAAAATAAATAAATAAATAAAGAAAGAAAGAAAGAAAGAAAAATGTGATCTGTAAATAACCCAGACAAGAGTGAAGTCGGCAGGGAGGAAAGAAACCACATTTTACCCATACAGCATCTCGAAAAGTGCCTTGTTGAAAGAACCTCTGGGGTAAACTCAGGAAGAGCCCCTGCAGGACAAGTTAGTTTGTAGAAACAGAGCTTATCTAGAGTCTTTTGCTTCCAACAAAAACCCCTCGTTCTAAGGACAGGGTCTCTTTCCCACTCGAGGTCATGGAGGGGCCCTCAATTCCACCCCAATTCTGCCCCACCGTCTCAAGCGCGCCTCCTCAGAGAGCATCTCCACTGGCCCTAGCAAAAGCTCGGGGTCCGCATTACTCCCGGAAAAGGAGCGTGGAAACGAGCCGTCCGCTTCCATCCTGGAAGCAGAGCCCCTACACTAGCGTCTCGGTCCGATAGAAGCGCCCTCCGCCTTGGCATCGCGGGTTCCTGGGAAGCGCCTCCGGCTGGTCCGCGGATTTGCAGCCGTGCGGGGGCGCGGGGCAAGCGGCCCGGATCCCGCCGGGAGGGCTGGCGGGTCCCGCCTCCTCCGCCCGGGCCAGCGCCGGGGCCCGACTGGGGGCTCGGCCCGCTCAGCCAATGGGCGCCGCGCTCGGGCCCCCTCCCCCGCCCGGGAGGAGCGGACGCTGGCTGGGCAGCCACCTCCGAGGTCGTGCGCGACGTGCGGCGCTGGGCCCCGAGTTCCCGGTCCTCTCCGGGCCGCGTGGATACACCGAGCCCCGGAAGGAAGCCGGTACGCGGTGCGGGCACCCAAACGCGCACGCGGCACCCTAGCGCCCGCTAGATCCAGAGTCCGGGCCCCGCTGCGTCCAGGCCCACGCCGAGCTGCACTCCTGGAGGCGCGCTGCGCGTGGCGGGCGCATGGCGCGTGGCCGGGTGGTTGGGCGCCCTGGATCGCCCGAGGGTCCTACGGGGTTCCGCCTTTGTCCCGGGTGGGGAAGGCCAGCGGCGCGCGACTCACCTTGCTGCTGGGCTCCATGGCCGCGCTGCGCTGGTGACTCTGGCAGTGCCGGGTTGCGCGGGCGGCGACGAGCGAACGGGCGGCGCTCTCAGAGGAGGTTCCGCTCCGATCCTCGGACTCCGACTGACTCCTCCAGTCTGAGGTCCACGGCGTGCAAGTGCACTTACTTCGGGACTGGACCCGGGACTCGCGATCCACACGCCCTCACGTTATACCTCCAGCCTCCGCGCTCCGGAGCGCGCGCCGGCCGAGCGTTTATAGGACCCCAGCCATTGGCTGGCGGGTTGGTGTGTCAGGAGGGAGGGGCGTGTGGGCGGGGTCTGAGCGAACACGTCCGGGGTGGGGCTCCGCGGGGAGGGGGCGGGGTGGGGGAGGGGCGGAGGGCTTTTGGCCCGCACGTAGTTTTGCTGCCAGCTTTGCTGTGCTCCTGGTTCGCTGGGACCCTTAGGCGCTCGCTGTGTGACCTTGGGCAAATGCGCTCACTTCTCTGAGCTTAGCAGCCTCTAGTAAAATGGAGGCGCTGGTACCCGGCTGTAAGGCAAGCTGGGAGTAGCCTACCGTGGCGCTTCAGAGCTAAGACTGTATTCCTCTGTGGGTAATTTAAGGTAAACTCAAAATAATAATAGTACCATCTCCTAGGGTCGTTGTGAAGATTAAATGAATTAATATTTGTAGAACAATTTGAACCACGTTGTGTATCACATGGGAAATGGTTTTTAATTCTTTATTAGTGAGGCTACAGGAGGTCTTGCTCCCTGATTAAGTCCTCTCTGGCTTCCCCTTCCTCCTCCGTGTTTACTATTTCCAAGCTTTTTGCACCTCATCTTCTGACAGTCCTGGGCAACACTGAGTGTGAGGAACATGAGAGGAGGCAGGGTAACTGAATGGTTAAAAGCATGGGTGGTCTTGACATGGAAGCAGCTCAGCTGCAAACTGGCCCGTAGCAGAATCCCAGGCTCCCGGGCTGGATCCCTTGTCTGTGAGCCAGTGACTTTTTTATGGGTAACGTGATTCCTAGCACTATCCACGAGCTGTGGCGAGAGGTACATTTTTAAGGTGTGCCCATGATGTGCTTAGCATGTGGATGTTTACCGGTGGTGCTGCTGGTATTGTCATCTGATTTTACTGCATCTCCTGTTCTAGGGCCATGCCGTAGGGACACTGTGAAGGGAAAACCCTCTAGTCTCAAGTTCTGGCCAGTCCTATCTTGGCTAAAGGTCCCTTTTTTGGTGGAGGGGACCGTGGTGGGGTTTCTTTGGGAAACATGCTAGGATGACCCTTGGCATTGCTGAGCAGTACACTCGTCTTCAGGACCTTTATATTCTCTGGTGTTCCCTCCCCACTCCAGTACTGGACCTTGTGATGATCCTGCTCCTGTATTAGACAGTTTCAGAGACGGAGCCCGGAGGCTGCCGGGAAGGCCCTTCTTCAGGGCACCAGGTTATAAGCACACCACCCCTTCACCTCTGCACCTTTGCTCAGGTTGTCTCCTCTACCTTGGAACCCCTTCCTTCACCTCAGTGTGCCAAAAAGTGTCCCAAGAATGAGTCCTCCTCCAGGAGAGCGCCTGCTTTCCCAAGCAGGGATCTTTCTGTGCCTTAACACTTGGTGTCGCTTAGTCTACTGTCATCTGACATCCCCCGACCCACACACAGATCGTGAGCACCTAAAGGACGGAGTGAAGGCGTGGAGGAAGGAGCAAATGAAGAGACCACTCAGCAACTGTCTGTCTGTCTCTACTTCCCCTGTGACTTGCTACCTCCCTGCTCAACATGTTTCCCTGGCTTGTTTCCTCACACAGTCAGCTCATTGGTTGTGCTTCTGCCCAGTTGCTGGCTGTGTGCTGGCCCCTTTCCCAGGGACGGAGGCATGAGAGTCCAGTATTAGCTTCCTGGAGCCCCCAAACTGGAGGGGATACAAGAGGAAGGATGAGTAGCAACATCAAGTGAGGTACAGGATGTGTATATACAAGAGCAGAGCTCATGCCACAGGGGAAAGTGAGGGAGTGGAGAGCCCTTGGGGGTAAGGGCATGGTGAGCAGGGTTTTGAAGACTGAATATCAATTCACTGAATAGATGGCAGGGATGGCCATTCTTGGCAGGGCAAGAGCAGGTGTGAAAGCAGCAGACCGTCAGAGGATGCTGACTGAAGGGACAGCCCCAGAGACTGGACTGCGCTCAGAGATTGATGGTGGAGCCCCAGTTTAGACTTTGGAGTTCCAGCTCTACTGGTTTTGTTTCTGTTTTGCCAAACACCCCTGAGCATGTTCCTTCTGTTCTCTGAGCCCCAAGACCCATGTCTATAAAGTCCCCTTGTAGATCAGCCTGGGGGAGGACGGGTGGAAGGATGTAAAGGTTTATCCACATAACTGTACTGTACTAATTCCTGATGTCAGCAGTTCAGTCAAATCCCCAACCCCACGGTCAGTGCCACTTGAGGACAAAGCAAAGTAGCCAGAAAAACAGACTTTACCTTTGCTTCACTCACCATACCTGCCCAAACAGACCCCCATTACCTGCTTGAAATTCCACTTCTCTGCATTCTCTCTATGTGTTTGATGGCCCCGGGAGGCTATTGTGAGAGATCAGTTCACTGTGAGCTCTAGAGCTATAGACATTGGATCAAAGGTTAGACTGATTAATAGGGATGTTGCTCCTCTGACCAGCTGACATGCTATAGCAGAGCTGGGGCAACAGAATATAACTCCATCTAGGGAGGGAGCACCTGAGAAGGCCTGAGAGAGGGGGTACAAGCAGAAGCCTGGAGGGGTGGCTTGAATCAGAATGTGGCTAGCTAGCCTTTGTGATTCACCTAACTGGTAGGGATTTAGGAAGGAGATGAGATAAAGGGAGAGAGAAGAGACAGGTTAAAGAGATAGGATCACAAAGGCTCCCAGAGGCCAGGCACAGAAGTCAGTGTTTTATTCAGTGTGCAGTGGGGAGCCATTGGGAATTTTTAAGCAGATAAGGGACCTAAGGAAATCTCAGCCTCCTTACGACCTAAGGCTGCTTGAAGCTTTAGGAGAAATGGGGAGGTGGTGGAACCCGGGTATTCAGCCTGGACACACTTCATGTCCCCTCTCCAGTTTGTGCCCACACTGGCAGCTTTGTTCTCTGGAGGCTGACTTCAGTCCTGGGAGGAACTGGAGCTTTGCTGGGTTGATTCCAAGCAGTTCCAGCCCCAGCCAGTCTGGAGGAAAAGAGCTCTCTGTGACTGGGGGACTGATGGGGAGGTGCCAGGTGCACATGCTCCAGCCGGTGCCAGGTGCGTGCTTGAGAGCACGCAGTTGGGCCCTTGGGGCTGAGGGGCGGTGCTCTGTAGGGCGGGTCTTAGCAACCAGAGCCTGGAGTGAGTAAGGCTGCCTGAGCCCGGAAAAGGTTCTTTTGCCTTTAAAGGTAAGCGTCCCTTGTATCAGGGAGAAAAGCTTATGCTGGGTCAGCAACTGCTGATGCACAGGGGAACTGGCAGGTGCTGGATCCGGAGAGCCCCTAATCTGCAGAATGTTTTGCAACTCAGATTCTCCTGGACTGCAGGTAAACATGGTGTTTGCAAGGCTGGCATTCCTGCTGGGCCAGGCGGGATAGTTTTGCATGTTTTATATTTTCATTCTGATTTGCACACCTGTTCAAACCTCCTTCTTCCAGAAAGTTCTCCAGCATCCCTTTCTGACCCTTTCCTGAGCTCCTCCCTGGTCCTCTGCAGGTGGTGTCATTGATGTCACCATCAGCTCAATGCTGGAAGATACTGAAGGAAGACTGCCTGCTCCACATCATCAGAGCACCAGAGCCTCTGGGATAGGTACTTCACACGTACCATACTTAACCCTTTCATTGTCTTCCCCCCACCACTGCTAGTTTCCATCAGATATGGTGTCTTCCTGACTCCTCTCTTTCTTCTTCATTTCTAATATCTAGTCAGTCCTGTGGATTTTGCTCCTCCAAAAGACTGTTGGAAGTCAGGAATGGTAGCACATGCCAGGTTACTTAGGAAGATCTGTAAAGCCAGCCTGGGTGACCTAGGGATACCCTTAATGATATCCTATCCTAAAGTTTAAAAAAATGCACTGGGGGATGTAGCTCAGTGTAAGACCTTGGGTTCCATCCCTAGTACTGCAAAAACTAAAAACAAAACAAAATGATGAGACCCCATCTCCTCTTGTCCATCCTTGAAGTCCCTCCTCCAAGTGCAGGCCAGAGCCACTGCTCCTGCCTCCTCCCACCTCTTCCCAAGGAAGTCTCTTCAAAATGCACAACTGACCAAACCACGGCCCCCTTAAACCTCTGTACACAGCCTGCAACAAGGATATCTCTCACAGAAATCATTTTGAGGCCATATGTGAAAGAGGGGGGCTGTGTATATATGAAGTTTAAAAACAGGCAAGAAGCTGTATGGGACTAGAGTGTGTATCTGAAGAACCCTTCCCTTCTGGAAGGGAGGGTCTCCACTACAAGGAGAGCTGATAATCAGGGTGAGACAGGTGGCAACCAGATCAGCACTTCTGGTGTTTTCTTTTTGCCCTAAACTTTGACAAGACTCAGCATTGCATAGTTACATGGGTATTTTGTCATTGTGGAGTTTTTGCACTAATATTGATTTTTCAAAAACATTGCATTAAACAGGACTTGGTAGCACACTCCTGTAATTCTAACACTTGGGAGACTGAGGCAGGAGGATTGCTGCCAAGTCAAGGCCAGCCTGAACTACATAGTGAAACTCTGTCTCAAAAAATTGAGGGGCCAGGAGTATAGCAGTGGCACAAGGGCCTGCTTGGCAAGCACGAGGTCATGAGTTCAATTCCTGGTACAAAAAAATTGCATTAAAATTATAATTTATATTGATAACTCAGTTCTTTTTGGGATTCTTCCTCTCCTCAAATTTTACACAGCAGGATAGCTCTTTGCTTTTAACATATTCCTGACTTTGGTAATGTTGCTTTCTTAATCAGGCTGCTGGTACACAGGTGCATACTGTTTGTCTTTGCACAGGCAGGATTTTTGCACTTTCCTGTGTGTATATTATGCTTGAATTATTTGGGGGCAAGGGAGAAGGCTGAGCATAGTGGTACACACCTGTAATCCTAGCTACTCCAAAACTGAGGCAGAAGTTCTGCCTCTGAATCAAAAGTTCAAAGTCAGCCTAGGTCATTTAACAAGATCTTGTCTCAAAATAAAAAGGACTAGAGATATAACTCAGTGGTAGGTCACTTTCTTAGAGTATATGAGGTCCTAGGTTCTGTCCCTGGTACACACAAAGAAGGAGGAAAGAAAAAAGATATTGTATTTATAGTCTTCCTGGGGTTCCAGGGTAATATCTCCTGTCTGCTTCCTCCAGTCTTCCCTGGCACCAAAAAAGTAGCTGCTACCCACTGGGTTTCAATACATAATTATTGAATGAATGAATAAGTATTTTACTTACTCCCTATGGGAACTCTAGGAGTATTTTCCTCTTGATTTTCTAAAATTTGGGGAAATAAAGGAATTTGTGCCCAAAGTATACAGACACTGAGTTTTTGCCCCTCCACGAAATGAAAAACAAAACAACATCCAACCCACAGTGTTTGTGCAGGTCCTTGACTCAGCCAGCACCAGCAGTTAAGCAGTTCACTGTGCCTGACTCTTATCACTTAGATTGCAATTATTTGAGCCTTATCTTCCCTGGAAAATAATGACATCTTCAGGTCAGAAGCTCCGGCGTGTCTCTCTTCCTCTGTCCGATAAGTTATCTGGCACAGGAAATAAAGTATACATGTTAATGAGTGAAAGAATGAAGAAGGAGGTCCTGGGAAGCCTGTGGCAGGTAGAGCACAGATTTGGGGGGTAGACTCGCTGGCTGTGTGTCTTTGGGTTAGTTCCTCTACCTGAGTCTCAATTTCTCAGCTGGAAGATGAGAATAATGTCAGTACTCACCTCGGATTGTGATATTAAAAGGGAGAATACGTCAGAGGCAGGGCTGACATATACTTAAAAAGGTAGCATTATTTCCAACTCTATAGCCTCAAAGCCTGATTTACTTTAAGGTAGCAAGCACCTACTTTGCTTCATTTCCATCTTTGTTTTTTGGTTTTTGAGACAGGGCCTCATCCTCCTGCCTCAGCTTTCTGAGAGCTGGGATATGGCTAGAACTTTCTAACCAGGCAAAACACCTTCCCACAAACTTTTTTTAAAAAATCTTTTCAAATCTATTTTATTTTAAAGAGAAAAAAATTTACAAACCACAATGATTAGAGCCTGACAGTGATATATACATTACATATTTGCAGTCCTTTCTTGAGTCTCGCCTGCACCTTTGGCTGAAGGCAGGACCAGAATCATTCACAGATCCACAGTTGGGGGAACTGAGGCAGAGAAGTGGGGCTCCTTGCTTGAGACTGCAGTGAGGCATCACAACAGAGCATTTAGTCTAGAACCAACGTGAAAGTTAGCTGGTTATCCAGATAGTCAGCTGGATACATGCATAGGAACAGTTTGGGATCCTTAGGCAGGGTTTGATGAGGGGACTGGGCCCCTTTGAAAAATAGAGAGGAAGGGGGTCTCTGCATATCATCAAGGAGCTGAGCTGACAGCCTGAGGTTTTGAGATCTACTCTTGTGTAGCTACACTGTCCCATATAAGCCCCTCTTTTTGTTTGTTTGTTTTTATTTTTGTTTTTGTCTTTTTGACACAGGGTCTTGCTGTGCAGTTCAAACTGGCCTTGAACTCACTTTGTAGCTCAGGCTGGTCTTGAATTTACAAAGATCCTCCTGCTTCAATCTCCCAAATGCTGGGATTATAGACGTGTGCCACCATGCCTGGTTTAAAACCCTCTTTAGATTACTTTTCTCCTCAAAATCCCTATTAGTCCATCAAACCTATCCCCCAAACAACAAATCCAATAACTAATCAAGTAGTGACATTTGGAGGTTGTAGAAAGGGGCCCCTACCCCATAAAACAGGCCTACAGCCCCAAATGTGTCCATGTCCCAGTTCTGGGTGCCCCTATTTCTCCAGAGTGACTTTGTACTGCTTCTTTGTGCAATAAAGTTTTTGCTTTGGACTTGACTTCTCTGACTCCTGTTCCTCTTTCTACATCAGAGATACAGACAAGCCTGGCTAGGGTGAGTCTGGGGACCCAAAGGGTGTAACATACAAAACCAGAGCCTCTTTACTTCTAGACTCTACCATGCAGTAGTTGGATCAGAAAGGAAGCATACAACTCACCTCCTAATCTGGCAGCTACCACCCAGCCCGCATCCACCAGTGCAGACTCCCCACCCAGCCCCCACCTGCATACCACCTGGCAATCACACGCATATGCATCACAGATCGGGCCGACTGACTCATTCATTATACTGCAACTGACTCACACTTTATAGGGGGGCAGTGAGAACCAGAGGGACAGCCTGGCAAAGCCATTCCCTTCCATGTGTAGGCTGGAGGACCCAAGCCCTGTGTAATCTAACTCATAAAGGGGAAAGTACTGTTGTTGGCTGGAGACAGGAGGTGGGACTTGGAGAAGGGAGATCTGCTCAACTTTGGGTTCTGTTACAAATTTTCAGGGTGAGTGGTTCCTAGGGCTTGGTAGTGTCCAAGAATTGCCACAGACAAGGCCATGAGGGACCTGCTGTGTTTAGGGTTGTGTGAAAGAGTGAATGACTCCTGATGTCACTCACACAGGCATAGTGCATTCATTAAGACTGTTGAATGGAAAAGAAAATAAAAATAAAAATAAATTAAAGATAAAAAAATTAAAAAAAAAAAGACTGTTGAATGGAGATGTGCATTCATGGACATGGAAAGAAAGCCTAATATTTTCAAATGGTGAAAGCAGGTTACAGAAGCATATGCTTGTCACAATATCCGAAGTAAATATGCATATATCATATAGTTGGAATTCTATAATTGTATGCTGAATGTTAACTGAAATTATCTATGGGTAGTACATTAGGGGTGATTATTTTCTTCTGCACAACTGTATCTGCATTTTGCTGACATGAGGGTATTAAGGGATAATTCTTACCTCACAGGGCTATAGGGTGTTTTAACTAAGACATTTACCCACCAGTTCAATAAGGACTTGTTAAGGACCTAGTATGTGATGGAATTTATGAAAGCTGGCCAGCACTACATATAGGCTTGGTGAGTTGGGGTCACTCAAGGATCTGGTTTCCTGGAACTCGCAGTGGGTCTGGACCTTTGTGTATAGAGATTTCTGCACAAAGCATCTATATCCTTCTGGATTAAAGGATGTAAAAACAATAGTGTTTCAGCCACCCACTGCTCTAGTAGCTTTAAGTAGCAATGATTTATTGTTTCTCAGAATTTTGTGGATTGACCAGACAATTCTGCTCCATATGATGTCAGCTAGGGTCACTCATGCAGTCATATTCTATGGAGGCATAGCGGGGCCATTCTTTCCACGTGTCCTCCTCTATCCTCTGCAGGAAAGTTTGGGCTTCCTTACAGAATGGCAGCTGGATTCCTAAAGGGAGTGTTCCCAAAGAGCTTGCCCCAATGTAAAAAGGCTAGTATGCCCAGCTGTATCAATGTAAATTATACCTGATATAAATTGTGTTGTCCCCTTAATCTATAATAAGCATTTCTTTGCAAGTGGATGTTTTCCCAATACAGTTTTCATTAATTAAGTAATTGTTAAGTTTTTATGGCACCAGAGACTGAACCCAAGGCCTTACCCATGCCAGGTAAGTGCTCTACAACCAACCTGTACCTCCAGCCTTCCTGACACTTTTTTTTTGGTAGAGGGGAGGCAGGTGAGCACCACCACGCATGGCTCAATGCAATTTTTAATGACCAAATGATAGCCTATCATTGATTGAACTAGTTCCCTACTGATGAACACTTTAGTTTTTATTTTGGAGCCATTATATGCAACTCTGTCAACAATTGCATACTAAGAACTCAGTACAAATTCTTGTAGGAAAGGGATTACAAGGTCAAAGACAGATACATTTGTTAAGACATTGCCAAATTGTCCTTTAAAAATATTGTCTTGCCTGGTGTGGTGGCGCATTCCTGTAATTCTAGCACTCAGGAGGTCGAGGCAAGAGGATTGCTGTGAGTTCAAGGCCAGTCTGGGCTACAAAGTGAGTTCAAGACTAGTCTGAACTGCATAGTGAAACCTTGTCTCAAAAAGACCAAAAACAAAAACAACTATAACATTGTTTTATGCTTCTACAAGCTAAAAAAGGACTTGCTCTTTCACAATCCTCTAATCAATACTGGGCCTGGTTTGCCTTTTAGTCTTTGTTGATTAGATCTGTGACAAATGTTGTCTCATGATGGTATTTTATTTCTGTCTTTAAAAGAAAGAAAAATCCAGCCTTAGTAGGGCATGACTTCAATCGTAATACTCTAGAAGGTTCTGGCAGGAAGATCATAAACCTGAGCCCAGCCTGTGCAATTTAGTAATTTAGTAGATCTTGTCTCAAAATATAAAATGAAAAGGGCTGCGGATGTGGCTCAGTATGAAGACCCTGGGATCAACTCCCAGTGCTGCAAAAATATACACAAAAATGAAAAACAGAAGAGTCAAAGTGACCCAGAGTCAGTGCTCCCATCATAAACTAGGAAGCAGCCCTAATACCACTGCAAGGCTGAGGCAGGGCAGTGAAGCATCTCTGCCCAAACTCAGGCTGGGGCATTGAAGCATAGTGCTAAGGGTCATGCTTCTGACTGTGACATAGTCACTGTCCTAGCTGTGCTGGGACAAGTCCACTGCTTTCTGTCTATGCCTGTGGGCCTTCTGACCCATTCTGAGAGTGTAACAAAAAGGATATCCGAGCATGGTGCTCACACTGGTCTTTGTCCTTAGGGCCTCATAAACTTGTTAGCTGGGGGACACCTTCCTGTGTACAAGTTGGGCCCCTGACTTAAGGGCCAGCCTGCATCTTCTTGACTGTGGAACAAGCAGTGCAACTTTTCTGAACCTCCAACTTTTCATCCAGAAAATGAGGGTATTAAAACTTTCAAAATTATTAACTTCTGTGCCTGATACTTGTGATCCTCACAGAAATTCTCCTAGGTTGAAAGTGTCCTGCCCACTTTATAGATGAGAACAAAAGAGACCCAGACAAAGAAAATAACTTGCCCAAAATTATCTACTAACTAAGTAATAGAGCTGGAGATGAGCTCAGGTCAACCCAGACCGGAGCCTGGATGAACTCCTACAGATGCCACAAACAATTGGCTGAGACAGTAAGGAGCAGTAATCTGTGACCACAGGCGGTTTTAGAACCTGTCACCTGGCTGGATGATGAATTTGAGTAATTCTCAGTGGGCAGGATGGCTGGACTGGGGACTTCTTGGAGAGTTAAGGTTCCTACAGAAGTCTGAAAGATTCCAGTTCCTGCAGAGAGAGGCAGGGCCCTTCCCTGAACACTTGTTACCATCAACTCATGGATGCATGTATGTGCTGGGAAACCTTTAACTACATGCAGACTTTTGCTCTACTCAACTTTCACGTTGGTTCTAGACTAAATGCTCTGTTGTGAAGGCCTATTCTTTTACATGGGGCTGCCAGGGAACAGGGACATTGGGTAACCGGCCAGAGTGGGAAAGCTGGGTTCCTGGCTGACTTAGGAGCTCGCCTTCTTAACCACGGCCCAGGAGTGAGGTACTCCTGGCTGGAACATTGGCATTTACACAGCCTGTGATCTGTCACCCCATCAGAGCCACTTCTCAGCCCTGTTAGGTGACCAGGCAGAGCCATTTCCTACCTCACCCCTTACCCATGAGGCCCAGGGGCAGATGAGAGGTGCAGCAAAGGCTGCTCTGTCTGGATAGGGAAATGGTGGGGTAGGGATATCTCAAAATTGTTGCTGGATCTCGCCTACCAAGGAAGCTGTGACCTCAGCAGTGAGGGCAGGCGGGTGTTCTTTCCAGGGAATCAGGGTGTGGCAGGGTGGGAAAGGAGTGAGGTCAGGGGAGAATGAAGCTGCGAAGAGAAGAAAGCAAGTCTCTGGGGGTTGATGGGGGGAAAGATAGGGGAGCCAGACAGGTCAGGAATGGGGTTTGGCTTGGGATGTACTATGCACAGAGTTTAAATAGGGGCCATGTGGGAGGGTAGAGCCCTGGGGTTAGAGATTATTGGATGCAAATTAAGATTTTGCTACTTATGAGAATGGTGAGTCTGAGCAAATGATTTTCCTGAGCCTAAGAGTTCTTGTCAGTAAAAACCTGGTACGCTGTCTGGGTTAAATCCTGGCCCTGCCCCTCAGTAGTTGACTTTGGGAAAATGGATTCACTCTCTGGGTCTCAGTGACTCCAGGTATAAAATGATCCTGGAAACAAAAGAACCCCTCCCAACAGAAGTGCCAGTGAAGACAAAGGAGTCTAGATCCATGTGTGAACCCTTAGAGCAGGCTTTTCACCTGCAGAGAATTTGCTACCCTCCTCCTCCCCACCATCACCATCGCCCCCTCACCATCGTCATCACTGTCTATATCACAGGATTCTCAGGAGGCTTACACAAAGCAGCTTGTACAAGCTGTCTGGCACAGGGATTATTAAATAATTATGGGCAGAGTGACAGGTACTGTGACATAGGATGATAGAAGGTTTAGAGACTTACAAGCAAAGAGAGAATAGTTTTGTCTCACTGCGTGAAAGAAGGTTGTGAAAGCCTTCCCAGAGGAAGTACAGTTTTAGGTGGGCTTTGAAGGATGTGCAGATGTTCTCTAAAGCTTGGGGAAGGTAGGAAGATAAACCTGTGCAAAGATCGGCCTGTAAGAGGGGAACCCTGACTCTCAGTGTGTCAGAGGAACATAGGCGGTTTCGTGAGGCTGTGTGTTTGGGGTGAGAGGCAAGGCATAAAGCGGCAGGGACACTGGGGCCAGATCCCAGAGGGTTGGGGTACCTTGCTGGGGTTTAAATTTGATCCAGTTGGTGGGCAGTTCCTAACTGACAGTATGGCAGTTTAAGGAAATATGGTCCCTCTATAGTCCCACCCAAGGATATTCTGAGCCAGTAAGGTTTAGAGAGACTAAGGGATCTTCACTGTTCTGCTTGGCAGAAAATTTTAATTCCCACCAGGGATAAGAACC